AACGTTTATGTGAGTTTTGTTCTTGAAGAAGAAAAACTGTTTGTAGGAAGCACGGACTCGGGCAGAAGCCCAGGCAGTGCCGCGGCGAGGAGACAGAGGCCAGGGGTGGTTACGGGACGGGAAGGGGGCCGGGACGTCCATAGGGCGGCATCGCTGTGGGTGCACATGACATGACATCGTGACCCTAATTCTAAAGAATGTGTTTAATGTTCGGCCCGGTACCCACCAGCCATGCTTTCCTGTCCTTGTAAACAGCCCTTTGGGGCACAGCGTTGCCCGAGGCCCCGTCCGAGGGTCGCTGGCCGTGTTTTGACACCCCGGGGTCTGAGGCGTGAGCGGTTGTCAGGGCGGCTCCTCCGGCGGGAGGCTGTTCCTCCTGGGAGCTGAGGGGGGTGGGAGGGGCGGGGAGCGGCGAGCCGGAGCCACACTGCACCCCAGTGGCCCAAGCGAGTCGCGGTGGAGCCCGTCATCCACAGAGTGAGACATCCACTGCGCTCGTGGCCGGTGGTGGGTGCTCGCCCTCATGGAGACCCCCTGGCTCCGCTTTTTCGGGAAACCCCGCAACCCTCAACAGGAGGGCCCAAGCTGAGGCTGGAGGCAGCGTCCCCTGCCCCCTTCGGGGCTGGGCGGTCACTACCCAGCCCCGTGTGTGTCCATGCCACATCCACATTCACCCCAAGACCTTCGGGGCTGACGCACTTGTTTGTAACGTGACATAAGCGAGTCTCCTGGCGTTTGGCACATGCCGCCCTCGGCCACTTGAGGCCCTCTGATGGGTGCCAGCCGCCCATCAGGGCTGGGGCCTGTGCGTCCCTGCTGGTCGGGGGCGTCCCAGGCCCCCTCAGCCCTGGGTCTGCTCTGTGGCGCCGTGTCGGTCCAGGTCTTTTGCCCAGGTGCCAGGCGGAGTGTGCTTTTTTACTGTTGAACTTTGAGGGTGGTTTCTGTGCCCTGGGTGCGGGTCCTTTGTCTGGCCTGGGGCATGCGAACATGGCCCCCGCCCCGTGTCTGCCCGTTCAGCCTTCTAAGGGCCCCGCCCCGAGAGTCGGCAGCCGTCCTGGCGGAGCCCGGCAGGCCCGCTCTCCTCCTGCGGACTGCGCCTGGGCTCACATCTGAGGGCTGCTCGCCCAGCCGTACACCCCGAGGACTCCTGCTGTGTAAAGTGCACATATTCTGTTGCCCATCGGGAGTTAATTTTCCAGTGTCTCCAGGTAGCGACACTTCAGCTGCGCCTTCCTCATTGTGCGAGGGCCATCGTGTCCCCTGGGTGTGTCTCAGAACAGCCCTCGTGCACTCCTGTGTCCGGGGGCGACCCCGTCCGCGGCACCGAGGGGCTGTGCTGAGTGGGGCGGCGGTGCCGATTGCTTGCACCCTCAGGACTCTCGGTGTAGCCTCTGCCGCGGGCACAAAACGGCACAGCAGTGTGCGTCCACAGACGAGGTGGCTTGCGCTCCAGGTCGGGGCCCGCGGGTCAGAAGGACGTAGGTGGGTATTAGAAGTCTTTCTCAATCCACAGCCCTGCCCTCACGTCGTTAATTCAGGGAGGCAGCCAATATTTTTAGTCAAAGGCTCTCTGGACATTAGCAATGGACGGGGCCGCGAAGGGGTTCCAGTTCAGGGGCCCCCCCAGGCGCGCTCCTGGGACGCCAAGGGGCCCCATGACCACAGGGCCCGGGCCGGGCAGGCTGGGTGCAGGCTGTTGCTGTCCGCTCCCCTCCCTCCTCCATAGAATCCCATTCTTAACACCTGGCTCAAGGCTCTGAGAAGGCCTGTAGCCGACCAGTCTGCTTGGTGGGGGTGAACGCCGTGCTTCCCGGTGTTGGACCTCAGAACGCCTCATTACCGCGGCCCGCATGGTTTTGGAACATCCTTTAGTCTAGCGCCTGCACTCTGGTCTGGAAGGAGCTAGGGGCCTCCGAGTGGAGAGCACGGTGGGCACGTGACCACAGGAGGGCGCTGTGGCCCTCACCCCTGCCCTCCACAGCGCGTCGGTGGTTTGCACCGCTGCCGGGCATTGGGACCCCCAGACATGGAGCAGCGGATGGTGCAGGGGAGAGCGACCGGGCTCCAGGGGACCCCTGAGTCCGCCCTATGTGGTCAGCACCAAGCGCTGGCTGCAGGCCTGGAGGAGCGGGCAGCCACGGGGTCGGGAGGGGCCTGGGGGTGTGTTCGTGGGTGGGGGCACGGAGGGAGAGCAGGCAGGTCCGGAGAAGGAAGTTGGTTTGCCATCCCGCGGAGGGAGCTGCCGGGGTGGGGGTCGCGGGAAGGGGGCGGATCCCCAGCACCACCTGGAGGGTGCAGCTGCGGAGTCGGGTGCAGGGGGAACACGCCCAGGTGCCGGAGGACCCCACCCAGAGCCTGGGCTCTCAGGTGTGGGCGGGGCGGCCACAGCGTCCCTCCGCCAGCAGGGGTCGTGCGTGTCCGCTTCAGCAGGGAAGGGACACAAAGAAACGCCAGGGCGACACTCTGTTGCCTGACCTGCAAGGGAACCCTGGCCACAAACTTGGCAGCGTGTGCTTGTGCGCTGAGAAGTAGGGCGCCCAGCGGAAAGGCCCAGGCTGCGTGTGGAGGGCCGGGGGTCGCAGCAGCAGCGCTGGTTGCGAGGCTGAGTCATTTGGGGGTTTGGGGCGGCAGCACCATGCCCGGCGGAGAACAGCGATGTTCACCCTTTTCCACGTGAACTAATCACTAAAAGTCTGCACAACACTGGAAATAGTTTTGACTGGTATGACAAAAAATGAGTATAATTTTGATTCGTTCACACACTGGACGGCTTAGTGGTTGTCATTTAAAAAAAAAAAGAATTTGACAGTCCAAAGGAAAAGAGGTGACCCAACAGGCACTGCATGGTTTAGGAATTCTGGCGGCGCGCCGGTGGGAAATCGCCGGCGGCGTGGAGGTTTGCAGGCAGCAGTGGCAGCTGCCACGGCTAGTACAGGGGGAGGCCTCGGGGATGAGATATGGCGCAGGCACAGAAAGGCCCGCGAAGAGTAAATGCAGCCCCGGAGACTTGCCAGCTGAAGGGAGACTGCCCAGCCCTGCTCAGCGCCGGGTCTCTCTGGCCACAGCGGAACCCACTGCCCCGCCCCAGCAGTCCCCACCCTTCCGCCGCTCGCAGGAACCACCGTGTACATGGCCTCTCTGTAGCCTCTCACTTCATTATGCAGCCCCGAGCCGGGTTTGGAACGTTCATAAATGGAGTCGCGCAGTTGGCTCCTGGCTTTTTTCGCCCAACATCGTTGCCATGCGGGTTGTGCCTACCTGAAGGGGGCTCATTGTCCGTCCGGTCCCCCTTCGGGAGCACGTGAGGCTCTCCTGGGTTGTTTCTTCCCCGAGTGCCCAGCCCTGTCCTGGCGAGTGTCCCCCAAAGCTGCCCTCTGTCCTACTAGGGCCCCACGGTTGGCATGTCCAGACACCACCAAACACTGGTTTCCAGAACGGTTGTGCCGAGTCCACTGGCGAGTCCACTGGCGCAGCAATGCTGCAGGGCAGCCTGGCCGGCGGAAAAGTGGATGCTCTGGCAGGACAGGGCCGGCCAGGCGGCCCCCACAGAGCCCTGGGAACTAAACGGGGCGCCGGCATCCCCCGCAGAGCAGATGGGCCCAGTGAAGAGTGTGGAGCCGAGCAGGCACGACATCAGGTCTCGGTTCACGGGAGACGGCTCTGGGCAGAGAGCCGGAAACGGGGACAGCCATTGCAGGGGCTCCTCAGGCCACCTGGTCCACCGTGTGCCGGAGGGGCTGCGGGAGGTGGGGGGGGAAGGGCCTGGACCGGTGGCCAATTGTGGCGATGATTTGGTGGAGTCAGATGTCCCTTTAGGTCTCTCTCTGGTGGAAATGCTGGTTCACCAGCACTCATTTGGGGGTGCCCTTGAGAGCTGCCAAGCAGGAGCAGCGCACCTACTGAGGGAGGAGCCCCGTACGGGCAGGACGTGGGTGCATCTTGGCGTCACCCAGGCCCCAGGAGCAGCTCCTTGCGCCCCACACGCAGGTGTTACACACTTACAGGGCTGAGGCGCAGGCAGGGAAGGATGTTGCATGGTGGTGACCACTTTGGCATGGTTTCGCCTTCAGCTTATGCACACCCGCCGTGGAGGGACAAAGCAGGTCCTCGCCGGCGGACTGGGACTGGCTGCCCCGGGACAAGCTCCAGGCACAGCCGGGCCATAGAAGCAGGCGGGAGGGAGGGAGAACTTGACAAGACTGAAGTCCTCCCGGCCTGGGCCGGCAGGCACAGAGGAGCCTGGGGGCACCTGCGAGGCCCCTGAACGCTGGCAGGTGGAGCACTGAATTGATCTCAGGATCGATGGGAGATAAAATTGACCAAAACTTACTAATTATTTTTACGCGGATTATCTGGGTCCTTGGCTGGGAGGTGGGGTGTGGTCTTGTGCGAGGGCCCTACGCGCTCCAGCTCACACTCCGCGTCGGAAGCGAGCTTCCGGTGTTCGGCTTTCGTTAGTAACTTCAAACGAACAAGTAACAAAAACAAAAACAAAAAAACGAGGCTGAGATGCTGGGGCGCTGCGCGGAGTCAGCCCCAGGCCCGCTAGCTCTGAGACTAAGTGCACGGGCCGGACGCAAGGGACGGGGGTAGGGTCGTGTGCCCCCCACGCCCGAGCAGCCATACCCCGCTTGCCACGCGCGCGGGAGACGAGGGCCCGGCCGCCGCGCTTTCCCCGCGGGTCTCGGGCAGCAACGCCGCACCGGCCCCGCTCCGCCCCGAGGAGGCCGCGTCGCCCCTGAGTGGCTGCGAGGGGCGCCCCGCCCGCCCCCCGGCCCCGCCTCGCCCCGCCCCGGGGCCCTGCCCGCCCGCCCGCCCGGCCTCCGCCGCCCCGCGGGGCCCCCACTCGGGCCCCCCAGACGCGCGCGCGCACCCGGCCACCTCCTCCTCCCTCCCCCGCGGGCCCCGCCCCCGGCCCCGCCCCACCAGTTCGCCCCGCCCCGGCCCCGCCCCGGCCGCTCGCCAGGCTCCGCCCCTCGCCCCGCCCCTCCCCCGCCCGCCGCCGCCGCCGCCGCCGCCTCCGCCCGCCGCCCGGGCCGCGTCGGGTAAACCTGTTTGGCGAGGCGGCCGCGCCGGGGCGGATCGTGCGGCCGGCGGCTCCCTCGCGGCTCGCGGCGTCGGGGCCCGTGGCGCGCGCGCGGCCGCCCCTCGGCCCCGGAGCCCCTCGGCGGCGCCACCATGTACTCGGGAGCCGGCCCCGGTGAGTCCTCGCGCGGGGCGCCGGCCAGGCGCTCGCGCACCTCCCCGCGGCGCCGGGCGGGGGGCGGTTGGCGGGCGCGGCGCTGCGCGGGCCGGGCAGGGGCGGAGGGGCCGGGGCCGGGGGAGCGGGTCCCGGGGCGGCGGCCGCAGCCAGGCTTCCTCGGGCCGAGTCGTCGGGGCGCCCCGCGCGGCCTGGGGCCTCCCGCGCCCCCGCCGCCGCCGCCGGGGCCCCGCGGGCTGGCGCCCGGCCGGGTGCAGGGCCGGCGGCGGCGCGTGTAGGCCCGAGGCGGCGCCTGGGCCGCTGCGCCGCCGCCGCCGGGAGGGCAGGCCGGGCTCGGGGCGGCGGGCTGCGGGCGCCGAGGCGCAGGCCCGGGTCGCGCGGGCGGCGGGCGCGGGAGCGGCGGCGGCGGCGGCGGCGGCGGCGGCGGGGGCCTGGAGCGCGCTTGGTTTCGTTTCGCTCGTTGCCAGCACTTCGGCGGTCCCTTCCCTGAGGGCGAGCCCGCCGGGGGCCCCGCGTGGGCCGGAGCCTGCGGGCCGTCAGGGCTGCAGACCAGAGGGCTGGGCGGCGGCGCCCCGAACCCTGAAACGGCCTGCGGCCCGCTCTCGCTCCCGACTCGCCGTGCCCTTATTCAAGTGCTAATTGCCTTTTACAATGGACTCGGAGAGGTGAAGAGCTCTGTGGGTTTCCGGAGCACCCCTTCTTGCTAGTCGGCCTCTCGGTCTTTGGAAAAGTTCTAAAAAACTTAAAGTGCTAAAAGCAGTAACGCAACCCCCCATCCCCCTTTTAAATACACAGTTAGAAGGGCGGTTGACGCGCTGGGCCGAGAAAAGGGTCTAGTGTTGTAGAGCTTTTTCCCTGTCTCCCGCCAGGCACGTGGCTCCTAAATTTCCCGCTGGCCCTGCCACTTGCACAGGGCATTGCCTGTCCCCTTTGTCCGCCAGCGCGAGCAGGCTGCAGGCCCCGCCCGGCTCCGTGCTAGGTGGTCCCAGCCCTGTGCGCGCCGCATTCCTGCCCCGGCCCCGCGCACCGCCGGCCCCTGGGTGCGGGCCCCACCTGTCCCGGGCCTCCAAATCCGGAGTCCGGAAGCCCCTCCTGGCCCACTCCGGTTCCTGACCGTGTCTCCTGCTGCTGCGTCTGCTCACAAACAGCCCTGTCTGTGCCTGGGACTTTTGAGTGTCTTTTGGGTTTTTTTTCTTTTCCTGGTGTCACTCAGTGAGAAAGCTTCTTCAAGGTTGAGCCTGAGCAACTTATAAGGGAGGTCGGCCAGGGACTGAAGACTGGCTTTAACCCTCCACCTGGGGGAGGACTCATCCCTGCAGGGGAGGGGTCCTGGTCTCTGTATCACAGTCTTGAGGGCCGGTTTGGCTTCTCAGGCTCCGGTGGTGGCCGCCGCCCCCCCACCCCCCGACCCCCCGCATGAGGCGCCCGGGGCTCATCCCTGTGAAGGACCCAGCAGGTGCTGGCCACCGCGGCCCGTCCACCTTTCTCCAGAGGTGCAGTTTGAAAGTTGAAGGCCTGGAAAAAGTGAAGAACCTTGAGGAAGGTCAAGCTTTTGTGTTGTGTTTCACATCCTCGAATCCATTGGACGGCCTGCTAAGTTGGTGGCGTTCATTTTCAAGATAGTCAGGACCGCTCAGAGAGGTCGAGGCCGCGCCAAGGTCAGGGGGCCGCGAGCATCGGGAGGACACTGTCCTCACAGAAGCAACCACCTGCCTCTGCCCTTGGCCCGCGGTGAGAAGTACCTGTTGCTCGCAGACGGGCTGTGGGGGCGGGCGGGGGGGCGCCTGCAGGTGTCATGGAAGCAGGAGCTGGGAGGCAGTGCGGGCCTCCCGGGGGGCTCTGCACCCTGGTGGGCCCTCTCCGGCTCGTTTTTAATAAATGCGTCGCCCCCCCCCCCGCCCCCACAGGCTCCCTCTGGTCACTGGTGGCTTTTGGAAGCCTCTTGCTCCTGTGGGATCCCCGGGACGGGGCTCCGCGGCTCACGGATAAGCCTGCCCCGCCTTCGGACAGCTTTGGTTGAGGAAGCAAATGGGTCTGCAGGGTAGTTCCCGTGAACGGCGGGCTGAGCCCAGCCTTTAGGCCGCACGCAGGAGCCGGGAGGGTACGGCTGCGAGGCCATGCGGTCTTACTCTGCACACTAAGGCTTTTAATTTTGTTGAAAAGGGATTTTTGGAATAGAGCCTCTTCGATGAAACTTTTAAATGTGTTTCCTAATTTAGGATAATGAGAAGACATTAGATTTGCATTGTACAAAAATTGCAGGTAGTTTTGCTCTTTCTAACTTTAATACACTAATTAAGCAACTTATTAAGTGAATTAATTTTTAAAAAATAGAGTTCACAGTAGGTCTGTGTCGCGTCTTGTACACATGCTGTTACACATGTGAATTAATATCTGGACTCTGAAGTTCAGTAGGTATGTCACTATTTTCAAGTTTTTTGAACTGTTTGAAAGAGGTAGTGGTTTAAGATGTGTGAGTTCTCCGGTGAACCTAAACTTTCCCAGGTGCATGTGGTTGCTTGTTTTCAAAAACCACTTGGAGATCTGAGACTGGTTGAGCGCATGCCTCCTGCGGGGGGTGTTGCTTTTGCTGAGCTTACCTGTGTGGCGTTGCGGCATCGTAGCCTCTGGGGCCCCTGCGGTTTGTCTGAGAGTTGGGGACCCTGGACTCCACCCACACCCCACCCTACCGTATCTCAGCGGAGATGTGGCCCAGTCCGCCTCTCACGGTGTGTGGGCTGCTGCCCCAGCTGGGAGGTGGGGTGGTTGTACAAAGTCCCCCTGGATCTGTTCTAAATCTTGTAGGATTTAAAAAAGGGGGTAAAAGCTTCAGCTCCTAAAACCTACATGGTTTTAAAAAGCAGAATATTTTTGTTATTACTAGCTTCAGTGTCAAAAGTTTTCACAGTGCCCATGGGTGGCGGTTTTGTTTTTTTTTTTAATCTTTTATTGATTTTAGAGAGAGGGGAAGGGAAGGAGAAAGAGAGGGAGAGAAACGTCCCTGTGAGAGGGAAACATAGACCTCTTGCCTCTTGCTGTTGCCTCTTGCATGTGTCCTGACGGGACCGAACCTTCGACCTTTCGGTTGTGGGGTGGCCCCCAACCAGCCGAGCCCCGCCCTGTTTATCCTCTATGGCCTGAGCTATGCAGCCCTCCTATGATGTGCCAGCCTGACAAAATACGTTTTTGTTTCTTGAATTACTATTGTGAACCTTCAAAAATGTAACAGTTGATTTTTTGAAAATAGTGTCCATTATAAACTGATGTAAAACACGCGAGGCGAGTGCTGGGCCCAGTCCCCTCACGCCCATCCCAGCCTTGTCGACCATCGAGGTCGCCCACGTCTGCCTCAGCCCTCCCCGAGGTCTCGCAGGGTGAGCGCTCTGAGGGAGAACCCCGGCCCTCCGCCTCCCCCAGCGCTTCGGTGCCTCGTCTGAAGGCGGGGACCTTCGCGACCCGGGGCCGCTGCCATGCTTGGTGGGCTGTGGTCCCTTTCAGCTCAGGAGCATGTTTGGAGTTGGTTGTTTTGGATCCTGAATTTTAATAAAAGTTCCCATAAATTTGACTTTGTGTCTTTTTTTTTTTTTTTTTTTTTTTGCCTGGAAATAAATATGAAGTGGAAATAAAGCTTTAAAAAATTTTTCTTGCTTATCGATTTAAGAAAAACACTGATTTGTTACTTAAGCATTCATTGGTTGGTTTTGTGCCCTGACTGGGGATTGAACCCGCAGCCTTGGTGTATCAGGTCGATGCTCAAACCCAGCGGTCCCCAACCTTCTTGGCACCAGGAACCGGTTTCCTGGAAGACAGTTTTCCACGGGCCTGGGTAGGGGGTAGTTTCGGGATGATTCAACGCGCGTTGCACTCAAACTCTCTACCTGCTGTGCGGCCGCTTCCGAACAGGCGTGGATGGCGCCGCACCCCCATGGACCGCCCAGCGTGCTCTGCTCACCGCTCCCGGCCGTCGTCCGCCCCCCAGCGTCCCCCAGCCTCCCGACCAGGCCCGGCGCTGGGTACTGGCCTGCCCCGTGCCCTCCAGCCAGTTACAATCATCATGCAACACATTTTTTCCTCCTACTTTTTCCTTGAGGTTAAAAACCTGAACCTGCTGCTGGTCCTCTCTGCCCCGCTCTCCCTGACAGCCCCGTCCTCATTTGTCTCTTGGGAGAGCTGTGCCTCAGCGACTGCCATTTGCCCTCCAGCTAGGGGGCGGGCGGGTGACCAAAGCACTCGTGGTCACTCCCTGGCCGCTGGGCCTGCCCGGGGCTGAGGGGCAGGTTGGGGGAGAGGCCCCCAGAGGCAGGGCTGAAACAGGGTGACCCGTCTTGCTCTTTGGTGGCTCCATACTTGCTAAACCCTCACAAAACCTGAAGGACGCACCTATGACCGGGAGAGGCCCGCGTGCTGGGTAGGTGGCATGTCATGTGACCAGACTTGTTCTAGAAGGTGATCCCGGCAGCCCTGCGGGTGGGGGCGGGGCAATCGTGGGCAGGCCGCTGGGGGCCTGGCGTGGTGGGCCCCTCTGAGTTGGTGGCTGGTGGGGGGCCACGTGCGCCTGAGCCCCCAGGACACGCACCCTGGCTGGGACCCAGTGATGAGTCGCTGGTTAGCAGGAGAGCCTGCTGAGCCTGCTGATACCTGGGCCCCCACGCCGCCCCCGGCCAGCTCCTTGACTTCGGTGAGTTGCGTGGCTTTCCTAAGTCTCAGCGACTGTACCTGGAAAAGGGGGGTAGTTGGGCCCCCTCGGCAGCAGGGAAGACAAGGGTGCTGAGCCGAGCCCTGTGGGCTGGAGCCCCGCCTCAGGGGAGGGCTGTCCTGCCCCCCACCGGCGTGGGGGGGCTTCTAAACCTTGAGCAAGAACGCAGCCCAGCGCCCGCCCACAGGAAGTGCTCTGAGGACAGCGGCAGGGAGGCTGGCCGCTCCTGGTCTTGGTGGCCCTGGCGGCTGGATGTTTGACCAAGTGCCCCGATGGGGTGCGGGGTGAGGTGGGGTGACGGGTG